AAATAAAAGGCTCCTATTTAAATGCAAAGTAATTTTTAATAAAAGCTAAGTAAAAAATTCAATTTTTTCCAAGTAATTTATTCAAAGTAATTTTAAGTAAAAAAAACATTTTTGCTCAATGTTTTATTTAAATTCTAAATGAAAAAGTTTGATTTTCTAGACAAAATATTGTAAATCGATAGGTAAATATACAAATTTTATTAAGTAAAGAGACATAAATATATAAGAAAGAAAATTTAATTATACAGTTATTGTATTAATAAAGCTTTTGTTGCTTTTCGTGGTCATCCTCATTTTCTTTTTTCACCCAAAGGTATATACTTTGCTGCTGGAAGTGGTTTGCAAAACTTTGACCTAATTGCCATATCAATTATGTGTTATTCGTGGTCGTCAGAACGAAAGAAAATATAGGTGGAATATACATATATGACAGTGCTATGTTAACACTGACAGAAAGAAAGTAAGAGGGAAAATGTATACGCCATACCATCAGTAAAAGAATCTTCATCTTGTCTGAGATAATCTTAGTTTGTCTAAATTATAAATTACTTATTAGTAATAATATTTACTTATCAAATATGTTTTATAACTATAATTTTAATTTAATAACTTAACGAAAAAATATTTTACTTATATATTAATTATTAAACTTAGCAAATATTTTTATTATTGAGAAAATTTTAAATTGATTGAACGTTCAATAATTTCACTTAGTGTTCAAATTATTTACTGAGTAGATACAAATTTTTACTTAACAAAAGTCAATTTAGCATTTAAGTAAATTTACTTAGCAAACAAATTGTAGCTTAAATAAAATAGATTAAAGAAAAAACAAAAGTTGGCTAAATACAGAGAATATGAACTTCCTTCTTTTCAAAAAATTGAAATATCAATACTAATTTCTTTTTTGTAATAACATCCGATGCAAAAGTCTTTGCAAAAATGACGAACAGTATTTCTGCATGTTCCTGACGAGTTAGCGACTTAATTATCTTTTTCTTTGGAAAGAGCAAAATCTAAACTTCAAAGAACATAGAAAATATAAGTGAGAACATTGAATTTATATTTGAGTTTAACTGAGAAAAAATATAAATATGAAAGGTAGGCGAAAAAGCACTTTTTTCTTTAATTTTTCCTTTCAACCCTGAGAAGAAAAACCTTTTTGAAAACTAAAGAGATGGAAATGTCGTCTGTGCAAAACTGTATCAGTCTATCTACTGTCGAAAATTTCTCATTAACTTCTTAATAGTAAAAATAAAACTTATTATAAAACTCAGTTTTGGTAGAAAACTCAGTTTTGGTAGAAAACTGTACTTTTCATGAGAAAGGCACGACACTGAGGAAACTTGTTATTCAGGGCTCAAGATATGTCAGTAAAAATTAAAATTAATATGAGCTTGTAGAGAATTTTCTGAAACAAATGAAAAACTTACGAATTTCCAATAGAAAAATGGATCGAAAGATAATTTATCATATTTCATGTGAAAGAGCAATAAAACCAATTCTCGATTCTATAATTACATAATTTCAAACGTAGTCTGTTATAGTGAAAAAATACTTATGTTAAGAGAGACACATTTGAAGAGAGAGGAAGTTGCAACAGCTTTTTAGATGACCTATTGTATTTAGATTTTTTCTCAGTCAAACTCAATTACACAAAGTATGGTTTTCTATGTTCTTTGAAGTTCAAACTTTGCTCTTGTCAACGGAGAAATAATTAAATCGCCAATTCATCAAGAACATGCAGAAATAATAATAATAACGTTATAATTGCAGTAATATTTACTCCACATTGTGTGTATGCGAATGTTTGCAAAGTCCAACAAGATTTCTAGTAATTCCTTTCACGAGTAAGATATTTTTCAGAGAGGAAACGGTGGTTCGACTTTGAAACCGCGGAACCCATATTTTTTTCTGCTGCGAGACAAACGAATTTTTTAGTATTCTTGGGGACATCGAATACGCTACATTGATACTGGTGGCATATATTAGCATAAATGTTCCTGGACAATATAGCAAATTTGTCGAAAATCCTTCGTTTTTCGAGTAAAATTTGTTTTTCTTAGCCTATTGGCCATAACGTTATAACTCATTTAGATAATATCTCTCGTATCAACATCTAATACATTACAATGCATTATTCTTTTTTAGCTTAATATGATGAGATAAAAAATGAAAGTTTTTATAACACATTGGATATTAATCCATTTCAATATTATTCGGCTTATAACGGTATACAAAGATAATCGAATTTAAGGGTATAAGTTGACTATAGCCTCTCATTTTCACATAGCTTATTGATATCTTGATCCACAACAATACGACAAATTATTGTAGATAAACCTTGAAAATAAACTGGCAGGTTTTATCAAGCATACACTGGTCGAGACTTCCGACAAAACTCCCACGGGACTCCTGTCACGGGATCCTGCGGGAGTCAGGTGGAACTTTCAAGGGACTCCTTAGGACTCACTCGGGACTCCTGTGGGATTTTGAGGACTTTCGAGTCCTGCGGGAATCCAATGAAAGCCCCACCTGACTTCTCCAGGACCCGGTGACACGAGTCTCGTGGGAGTCTCGACTAGGGTAACGCGATAAAGATTTTTCATTTTTCTTTTACCGATCAACATATCTACAACTAAATTTTCTAGTGTCACTTGGTAGCTATATTAATGGAAAGTAACGCTTGTTTCAAATTTTAGTTGAAGCATATACTGATTGATCCAAACATGCAAGGATATGCTTGTGAGCAGCTAGGTACGACATCTATCTCAATAATTTTAAAAATTTTCTCTTTCAAGTGGAAATTGAACGAAACAAATCAACCTGATTTAGAGTAAAACAAAACTTTTTTCTTTCTAGTGTAACTAACCGTGTGAAGATTATAAAAAAGAATATGCCTATAAAGGCACAAGCACACATTCGAAATGTGGATGTTTTATGATTATACCGACAAATAAAAGTTATTATTGTAGCTTATCTTAATCTTATCGGAATACCATATTGGCAATATGCGAGCAGTGAGACTCCACAATCAATGCCATTTTTACGTTGAGTGTAACGATTCACTCGGTGCCCTTAACCAAAGTGTATCCGAGTAGATTACGCTACGACTTGTACTAGTGGACCTAACTTTTTGTCCTATTCTATCCTAATCAAATTATCTTTGATCCAAACAAACCCGGTATCAAATAAATTACTGAAAAAGAAAGAACAGCTATGAATATTATCCAGCAACTAAATTTGTAAGCTTAATAGTGCGGTTTTTAGAAGAAAAGGTTGTTGTGCGACTTGCACTTTCGAGCAGTCTGGTGCAAAAAGTTTCACGAAAGAAGCTACAGTCGTTTATAAATGCTTACTCATTTTCTGATCACCGTTTGGAGTATCGTATGTGACCACAATTGAAAATTTAGAAATTGCCTGAAATAAATGTCTCTTACCAGAGTTGCCATTCTGTCCGCTTTTTGCGGACAAACTCTGCTTTCCGCTTTTTTAAGCTGTAGAAGTTAAGCTGTAACTTCAAGATTGAATAGCGACTATCGTTTTAATAACAAACATGGACAAATTAATTTGTTTTCCTTATTCGACTCCTTTGGCAATGCGTATGTGGAGAGTGTTTTTTCTCAAATGAAACATTTGTTCGATAATAGACGTAATCGTATGTCGACAGAATTAGTTTCGTCACAGCTGAGAATACGTCTGAATAGTCCATGTTTGCTTTTCGCTTTTTGAACTTATAGAGTTGGTAATTCTGCCTGTTAAATGCTACACATAAGTATGATTACGCTATATCTTTATTCTTCTTATTTATTTTTTTGCTTCAGAATGATTTAATTGATGTAGTGCTCCTACTCAATAGCCAGCATAAGCGTGAATGTGATTTACATTTATTCTATTATTTATATTTTAAAATGACGTCCTTTAGGCAAACGGAAAACTGCTTTCATCAATATTTACTATCGGTAAGAGCTTTTTCACTTTGTTTTCTTGCTGCAAAAATTGAGAGTTGAACTAAATATTTGTATTTTTGTGGTGGAGAATGGATTTTTATTCTTCATCTAGTTGAGCAAGAAGACTAAACTCATCTTCATAATCTGATTAATATTCTGCATCAGTATGCCATTATCGGTCTTATGAATATAAGAATATTTTTATTATTTACTTTTAGTCAGTGTTAAATAATGAGGCATGCGATGATACTTGGGACAGTGATCATGTTCAAATGCCCTGTTCACCAAACAATTTAATGGTATGAATAGTTTTCATCAACGTTTTATCTTTGTACTTTTTATTGTTTTTTTTTTCAGAGTGATGGAACTAGCCGATGGTCGAAAATATGTGCGATGCTAACCGCTTTGAAACAAGCTTGTGAATTAAAAACAGTTAGCTTAGAACATCTTAAAGTATAAATTTTCATTTTATGCTTTTTCGTAAATATTCTTTCGTTATTTCTTGTTAGTTAGTATTAACAAGTTACTCACAACGAATTATCAAGATTGAATGTTTAGAACAATTATTAAATCAGGTATGGTTTTAAGATGACTGACTAATATTTCTTGAATATGTTTATCTATCTAAGGAGTATACAAGCAACGAACGAGCGCGTTTTCTAACAGTTGTTTTACCAAATATTATTGAATTAGTATTGCATGTGCAAAGTATTTGTCGTCAAGTACGCTGATTTTATCATTTTTTGTAAAGAACAACAACAGAGTTAACTAACAAATTAAAGATGGGAGAGAGTAATGTGAAATGTTTGTGGATGAATGCAAAAGCGTCAGTGTTATTGATTAGGGGGTTGCATACCACCCCTCATTTGGATACAGTTACTCAAAAAATTTTGACTTACTCAAATTTTTAAAGAAATTTAAGTAGAAAAACTGCTGTTTATGCACCTGAGTAAGTGATTTTCTCCAGCTTCTGAGTAACTCAGTTACTCAGAAAAATTTTAGTCAGCTTAATGAAAAACTTTAGTTACTCAGCAGGCTCGCAAAACTAGTATCAAAAACACTGAAAAGCGTAGTGCTAATCTCGTCATTTATTTTTCTAGACGCCTATTTTGTTAAAAGCTAATACAAATCGTGCAATTACAATGTCTCAAAAACAATGCGCATCGCTGTTAGCCTGTGCATTTTTATGTGTATATCCAAACCGTAGAAAAAATACAAATTATCAATCTATCAATTTTGATGTGTAAGTAAGTAGTCATTTCTTGGATAGACAATCATTTAGTCAACAAATACTTCCATGTGCATTACTTGAATATACTTTTTTCTTTAGACTTTTTCAAAAAGATACTCATATGCATATCACAAAAAAGAAAGTTGAAAAATTGAAATGTCTTCTTCATTATTTTTCTCGAATTACTCAAAATAGTAAGATCTTTATATTAATGTCAATTTTATCAGCAAATTATTTGATGTATCGCTGTATTTTCAAGTGCCCGATGGTGTTGTAACATTTCGTCGTTCTTGCTTATCCATGTCGATGATACCTGTTTGGGATCAGTCAACAAAGCCTTTAGCTACGCTACATTTACCAGAATTAGGAAAAATCGAAGACATGAAGGGTTATGTGCAAGTAAATAATATTCACTATTTCGAATTTTTATTATTATTATCTACTCTATTTTCTTGGTTAGGTTGATTTCGTGAATAAGTATATCGGTGGTACAGTTTTACAAAACGGGTGTGTCCAAGAAGTCATTCGTTTTGTTATCTGTCCAGAAATGATTATCGCATTATTGCTTTGTGAAGAATTGACGGATAATGAAAATGTTTCCGCAACGGGTAAGTAAAACATTTTTCTATCATCTAACGTAGTAAGATAGATACTCGGTATTTTTTCTGATCACTTATCAAATATTTTACAAATTGAGTACCATTTTTTTTTTTCTATAAGGTTGTGAACGATTTTGTTCTTATGGTGGCGATGCAGATACATTCTATTATAATGGAGATTATGTTGATCAAACAGTAAAGTAAGATTTTCTCTTATTATTTTCTTTTATTCGATAAAGATAGAAAATTTTTCTTTACAAGAAGATTATTTATGCTTTCTTGATACTCTGTTGCGTTATTCTTTTAGAGATCATTTAGGACAGCGCACCTGTCAAGTGGTAATAGTAAATACGAATCATTTTCAACATGTTGCCATAGAATATCAGACTGACAATATTGAACGTGAATTGGCAAATTCTTATTGTGCATTTGCTTCTTTAGGAAAAGGAATAAGATATGGTGTAAAAGGAGTGACGACTGCTAAAAAAAGATGTGAAGTTTTTCATGGAAGTCAAGAGTTAAAAGGTAGATATCAACTAAAGATAATAATTCATAGAAATATTTATTATTTGCCGTTTTCTTTTTTAGCTCTTATTCAGCTAATAGCAGCATCTGAAGTACAATGCGATATGATCTATTTTGCATTGGATGATCCATTATTTCGTACAAAATTTCTCGATGTTTACAATCATATATTAAAAAATAAACTTTGTGTAAAGGATGTTCATCATTTAACGGTTCAATACGGTGAATTAAGAGAGAAGCCCAAAATGCCATTATTTGATTTCATCGTAAAATCGAATATAAGTAATCTAATCGATCCATACTCAATAAAAAAGCCAAGTTTTTCTATTAAGTTGTTACTATTTTCTAGACACGGTTATACGTATACAACAGACAAGGGATCTGCCGTTCACTGGTAATTACCACCTCTAGGGCTGAGCGAGTCCGGGGAGATGCCGAGTCCAAATCATGAAGCGAGCAAACCGAGTCCTTGAAATGCAATCGCGAATCCGAATCCTGAGTCCATTTAGAGTTCAATAATTTTTCTACTTTTCGTTAGGCATACAGTCGTACGTTCAGTTTCTACTGTACAATTGAATTCACGCTGTTATTATGTATTCAAACAAACTGCTGTGCTAATCATAATTTTTAAAGAGAGTAGTACATGTGCATCTATATATTCCGCACTGATATTGAAAAAATTCAAATTTCTCCGTTCATTTACTTTAAAAGTTGATTGAATCGATCGACTCGAAATACAAAAACTGACGTTCGAGTCCCAGTCTTTCAAATAAATCTCCACTCCAAGCCCAGCCCAAGTTTACCGAAAGATCTTCCAGCCCAGACTCGTCCAGCTCTGATTGCCTTCGGCTTATTTTCTTAATGTATCATCATTTCTATACCTTAGTCGACCACGGTGTGTCTCTTCATCACGAATTATTGGATAATGTTGCTACCAATGAATTTGTTCAAGATACAAAAAGAAAACGTGTTACAATATCAAATGGTTAGTTATTTTCACATCTTTTTTTATTAGCGACCACCCTTCTGTTGTGCCGGTCATGTTTTACATATGCGACAGATTGCTTTTTTCTGTGATTTAGATAGAATATATGAAGAATCGATGAATCTACAAGATCCGATAAAGATTTATTATAACCAACCACAAAACTTTAAAGGAGAACGACAGCGATTTTCGCCGTTACAATCTCTAAGGTGGTTAAATCAATGTTTTTTCCAAAAATTAGTTTATATGCATTATATGAACGGTTGTATATAGAGTTTATTTTCTAGAAGGAAAAAAAAGTCGAACACTATTGTTCAGAATAATCTACGACTCCCAGTGACAATGACGATTTCACCGTCGTCAGTTCGTGAGTTTACTTTTTAAAATTATTAGTATGATTATTTATTTATTATTATTAATTCTGTTTAGAAACGAATATAAATAGTAAAATTTCCAGAACATGTGATACCCGAATGGTCATTAGTGACGATTTCGATGATATGAGTATGGATCGAGAAAATGATAGTTTTCGTTCTGGTAAGAGTATGATACCACATAGTCATTTTTGTGAGTTGTTTTCATTTTCTTGCATAATTTATAGAAAAAAATGAAAACGATACTGCGGACAATTCTTCTGGAAATTCACCTGAAGACATTGATCAATCACAGAATTTATTCGGTATGTAAAATAAATATGGTTCGTTTTGGCAAGACATGGGCGATTATCCGCTCATTAATAAATAGATATTCTAGAAAGAAAGAGACATATCTGTCTTTTCGTTTAGATTTATCGTCTATTACAATTGGTACATCAACAAAAAAAGAATTTAATCACACTTTAGCACTAACTTATGAATTTGAATTGACGGAGATTGATTTATCGAAGTTAAGTAATATTCGTAATCATCTAAAGATACCTAATAAAGTATCTAAAATTCAAAAACAACAACATGAGAATACATCGGCGAATAACAATAAACATCGTGTAAATGTAGAATATTTTTATGTTTTACTTCCATATTTAAAAAAGTTTAATCCCTATTGTGGTTTGTGTATTCAACAACGATATTTTGGAAAACGATCAATGCCTCATGATCTACTGTTGAAATGTCTTCTAACATGCAATGGGCGACCAAATTGTAAATTTCGTTGTTCTCTTGCTGTTCAAAATAGTGGTCAATGTACGATAATATGTGCAAATAATGAAATTAATCATTCAAAAAAACAACGTATATGCCGTCCGATTCGTGCACCCATTCGAAACGTCTTAAAAGATAAATTTAAAGCTGGAGCAACGGTAAAGAATGTACATGATCAATATGCAAGTGAACGAACATTATCAGAAAAATCATCCTTTAATTATGATTTAATTGGTACATCTCAAAAAATATTTAAGAAAATAAAAGCCGAAGCTATGAATAGTGTAGATCAAAATCGAAAAAATTCATAAATTGTTTAGATTTTTTGTTATTAGTTATTAAATCTGCCACTTTCTCAGACGAGAACACTAAAATTAGTTATACTGAAAAATTTTAAGTTTAGATAATTGAAGACATATTTTCATTTTTCTTTTCGTTTTTGTTTTGTTTTTATGTTTTGTCAGTAACATGTTTTTGCTTATTTTTAAGATAGTCAGATAGTTCCAGTATTTTCTTGCTGTCATTCTTCTGTATATTGTTCAGAATAAAAAATATTCAACGTCACGTGCGTTTTCTATAGCCTCGGTGAAAATATATGTTTATTTTATCAATCAGACATTTTACAGTCACTGTGAAGTATTTGTGTGACCGGTTAACTGAAACAAGACAATTTTGATTCTCAATACATCTATAAAATAGTATAAAATATTTACACAATAGGAAGACAACCTTAAACTATTTAGTCGCTTATTTCAGACAAATTTGAGGAAGTGTCCATGTGTAAAATTTGGCCTAAAAAAATAGTTGACAGACAAAGACTTCTCGTAAGATGAAGTGTTAACAATTGACCAATATAACCACGGACTTTACAATACTTGCACTTATTCTTTACATTCCAGGTTTTTGCTTCATGCTTGTCGTTAGTATCATCTCATTATTTATAAACAAAAACAGAATAAGAGAAACATCAGTAGGATAGAAGACAAAAAAAAACAATACACTCGAGACAGAAAAAAGAAACAACAAACAAAATACACGCATATTACTAATATCAGAGAACTCACACACGGGACAGGAGAAAGAGAAAGAAACAGAAAGAGAGAGTACTGGTTCATATGTGCGCTGTTGCTTTCTTCCTATTCATAAATTTTTATATAAAAAAAAAAACAGAAAACAAACTTAAAAATATATATGTATGTGAGAAAGAGAGAGAGAGAGAGAGAGAGAGAGAGAGAGAGAGAGAGAGAGAGAGAAAGAGAGAGAGAAGAAATATTAGATCTAAAAATAGAGACAGACAACATTAACAACAGCAAATGAACTTTGAGGGGGATATAACGCTCTTTTTCTTTTCTTTATACTGGAATAATAGACGTCGTAGCACGTAATTTTTGATTTTAACAAACGAACGAAAACGATATATACTAATATATCACCGTAGATCAGCTTCATTTGTCGAATGTAAAACTGCTGTTCTGGGTGGTGGTGGAGTGACCGTTAGTTGAAATCCTTGTTGATCATTTGTGGATATAGAAGACTTTGATAGTGACCGATGTTGCGTTGTAGGAGTTAATTTAGTAGACGATAGACGAGATGGAGAATTATCACCGACCGATGACAACTCTTGAATTGTATCGGTTGTTGATGTTGTTAGATCGGTAGATGGTGCGGAAATGTTTGCCGCTTGAATTGTGTCCGTATTTGGTAGTGGATCGTGTGTAATAGAACCAGAAGAGAATGCTCCATTTTCTGGTTCGATATGTGACTGATACCAATCACGATTTTGTTCTAATGTTTCTAGAATATTATTTGCATCAGGATAAACAAGATCAGCCCATGTTTCCCATAATGGATGAACAATAAACTCAATAAAACCAATCTAAACACAGACGAACATCAAATACATTGTAGGAAGAGATAAGACACAGATGATAGGATAGTCATAATAATATTTATAACTAATTTAAAATTTCCTCTTTTGATCGAATTTTTTGCATAATATGCCCGTGTATACAACGTCTCATCTTTGGCTTTACATAAAATTACTCGTTAGTGAAATATGTTACATACTTGTGATTTTTCTACACTAGCCACTCTTCTATCACACATTGGACTAATTTCTAATCTTAAATCTCTTTCTTTATCTCCCTGTCGCCAAAATTCTTCCATAATACGATCTATCCACCTCATATAGATATCCAGTGGTTTTGTGGGATTTGATAGATCGGCACAATGAATCATATTTTGTAATACCTGAAACACATTTTTATGTCAGACAGTGCATGAATCTTATTATATGACAGAGATGGAACCGGTTCAGTTTCAACTTTTGAAAAAAATGAATCGGTTCGGTTTGAGAAAGGACTCCTCCGTGTACGGTGACGAATCTACCACTCTGAGACCTGTTTCTTATATGAATAATTCGACAGTCCACTTATTTTTGCACAATTTCATATGTTTAACTGAGTTGTCTACCATAACACAGCAAAGATATGGGGAGCACTTTGTGTGCCGGAGATAGAATGCACTATTACGCATTGCACTAATGTAATTTTTAGAGTTAGCGCACTATTTATAATATTCATTATTGGAATTACCAAGCCTTTCTTCGCTCTACAAAATGCACATAGACACTCGATATCTATCACTTCTCTGTTGGGAAATCCGGGATTCTCAAGAGGGATCGGGTACCATCGTTAAAAGTGACCGGTCATGGTGTTTGCCTCCGTTCTTCTCGAAGAAACGTTTGCCCAGATTGAGACTCCTATGTAAACTGTGCCGACTTTTATCTACAAAAGAAGCTGCATAAAAAAGTTTTTTAAAGGTGAACTTGAGCCAGGTGTACTTTTTTGCAGCGACATTTTTGATCCACTTTACACCTAATAACTGTCGATTGAGCCGATTGTGCTCAAAATCAAACTCTGATATCAGATTGGTGATCAGAGCCGAAACCTAAATCGATTAGATCATAACAAAATTTTTCATGGGGACTTATGGATGATCGTACGGGATAATCCGCGCTATCTCCAGCACACAAAGCGATCTGCATATCTTTTCTCTGTTATGGTAGAAAGCTCAACTAAATTAACGAAAATGTGCAAAAACAAGTAAGCTATAAGAAATAGCTCTAAGCGAAGTGGGTAAATCTTATCTGATGGAGACCTTTTCGCTTCGGTTCGGTTCGGTTTTAAAAAAACATAAATCAATCTCATCTCTGTTATATGAAGCCATTTACTTGTATTCTATCATCGTATGTTTCTAACATGATAATATTATTTCCGGTGACTTTTTTTGATTCAACCATCGTCTTTAAATCGGCTAGTAATTGCATATGTTTGGACATATCTGTAGCAAGCACCATATCAATAACCATTTTTCTGAGAGTTTTCATTTGTTTCGTGGTTAAATTTGCAAATATATTCCGTTCTTGACTTTGTAGTAGTTTAAATGCTACTGCTAAATGATGATTTTCTAGTACTGATTCGTCATTATACATAATAGCCAAATCCGAATTCGTATTGATTAGAAACTGATTTGTTACACCAGGATGATCGACATCGTGTACGGCCGAAGCGAAAATGGCCGACATTACTTCTAGGTCAGTAAACACACCCTAAAATATAAGCAAAGAAAAGATTTTTGAACAAAAAACAAGTATTTAACGAAGTTTTGATGGATATGTCATAATGAGAATCTTTACGTACGTCTAACGCGCTCGCATTCAATAGTACATGCATTGACTGGCAAACATCTGCTCCATGTGCTTTATTATGATATGGTACTTGTTGATAATGATCCTCGAGCATTAATAAATATTTGAGTAACGTCGATTGATCAATCGAATAAATTCGACATAGATCTCGCTCTTGAAATATTCGATACGTAATAGCTGTTAGTGGACGTTGATCACTTAATTCTTCCACTTTAAACGTATCTAAACCCCAATCATTAATACGAGATAGAACATCGACTAATTCTTGAGGATACTGAGTTTCGATGCCTAATTCTGATACTTTGAGAAGATTGGTGGTTTGCTCGACAACTTGAATACCTTGTATTTGTCTCATTACACTTTTGGACGAATCATTATCTTGATACGATGATGAGCAAACGGTTGTTGTGGTGGTTGCGGTAATATTTTGGGCTTGTTGTTGTGAAGTGGTGATGACCTGATTGATTAACGAGTCGTGTTGTGCAGTCGATGACGGTGCATTCGGTAATTCAACATCAGGTTCTTTTTTATCTAGAATACAGAAAAAAAAAGTTAACTGCCACAAAACCAATATCCAGGCCTGACTAAAATTTAGAAGCTTGTGAATACAATGTTTTTTGAACACGTTCTTTTCTACCGCTGTTAAGAACTGGAACGAATTAAGTATAGAAATGCGCCTATGTAATAGTTTAAAAACCTTTAGATCAAAAATAAAAACAATTATAGACACTCTGAAGAGTTTTCGCGTGTATGACGTTAAACGCGCAGTAGACAAACTATGCTATCAAATGCGTTGTGATTTCTCGTCGTCACTGAACAACGATTTGTATATCAAAACACTAGCGCCTGATAAAAACTATTTATGCGGTGAGAAAGAAACAGTGAAGTACCATTTACTAGACTGTTCTCTCTATGCCAGTCAGAGAGCTAAACTTTTTAAATCCATAGAAGATTCGATACCTAGCACGGATTGTTCTCTTAAGACTCTGCTACTTCTTCATAAGGAACTGTGCAAGGATCATTACTCTGTTATCTATCGTGCAGTTATATGTTATATAGAAGAACTTTTAAGATTCGATATTTAAAATTGTATACTTTTTCTTTGTTATACCACACTCTTCTTCACTCAATTTATGTGTTTCGTTTTCGTTCTAAAGTTTTTCTTGCTCTTTTTACTGCTTATTTATTTCGACATTAGGCTCCCAGGAATGGTACAATGACTAGTCGATTCCATCCTGGATCCTACTAGCTTGTTCTTCTACTTTTATGAAATAAAGTTTAAACAAACAAACAATACTTTGCAAAAATAATTCATCACTTTTCAAAACAATTTTTATTTAAATTAGAACAAGTTTACAATATTTGAAATCAGTATTTCATACTCTTTTTATGTCCCTATTTCACAACTTTCGTCACATCAGAACTTTCACTATGTGAAACAGTTTCAGAATACAGATAAAAAAATGAAACAATTGACATTAAAAAAGCCTATAATTTGGTGCAACCAAAAACTATATACTCTTATTTAGTCAATGTGGATTAACATAAAAGCATCGATGAAGTTGTGAAATAGAGACATAAAAAGAATATGAAATACTGATTTCAAATATTGTAAACTTGTTCTAATTTAAATAAAAATTGTTTTGAAAAGTGATGAATTATTTTTGAAAAATATTATATTTGGTATACCTGTATATGTTGTATATAAATATTCTGATATTTGTGGGCCAGATTTATTATTTTCAGCAAAATGTGATAACTCTTTGTTTAACATTCGCTTAAACTAAACAAAGAAAGAGAGAAAATACATGAAAGCCGAGTACTTCGCACGACTTACTTTTAATGATGCTAAATCTGAAACAGACTTATGTGTTTGCATTGTTTCTAACTGATCTAAACACCAGTCTAATTCTTCTAATGTTGATATAGCGGATATCATTATTTGATCATCTAAAAATAATAAGCGTGTTAGTAGCTTGGCAAACGAATGGCAAATGACATTGCATTTCAAAGGTACACTGTTTGAACCTTAATGACGCCAGTCACGGAATAGTCTTGTCAAGTAACCATAAAAGAGCAACAGCTGATGAGAGAAAAAGATAGTTTTGCTTGTATATAGCGTTTATATAAGAGACCCTTCATTCATTCAGTATACTCCATCACATTTTTTATCCTCTTTATACTTCGTTTTCTCGAAAAAAGACTGATTGACTTTGATGTGTCTGAAAATGTGACTCTGTATCTCTTTTTCTACTATTATGTTGTTATAAGTTTTAAGAATTTTCTAGCACCCCATTTGAAAAAATCCTGATCACGTCACTGCCTAGTCAGCGAGCTATAGGAGAATGTAACGGGATTTATTCATAAAACTGGAACTGATAAAAAATACAACATCAACAACGTAATAGAACATTAGATTCTAGATAATAACTGATGTTCTTCAAACTAATTTATAAAAATTTATCATCGCAACTAGTAGAGATTACTGTCATTCGATCAAAAACTTTTTCTACCTACCTCCTTGTGTTATCACCGAAGAATTATTCTGCTGTTGTATCGTTGTCACTGGTGTAGTAGTAGTTTTTGTCGAGGAATTATTTGAATTTATATTTGTAACTAATGGCAATTGCATGGAAGATTGACGTTTAGATCTAGAAAACAAAAACCGTCAAGCTTATAAGTTTAAGCATATACTGATCTTTTACTGTACACACAAAAATATGAAACAAATGGAATTTTTTACTAAAGACATTTAGAATCCAACTTTTTCTTTGATACAAAGACTCTTCTTTTATTTATTTTTTTTTGCTAAATAATTAAAAAAATATTTGTACATACCTCTCTGGTGGTATTTTTGTTAATTCGACAAAATTTTTTCTAACATTTTTAAGACTAGCTAATATTTGAGCAAATGGAGTAACAATCATATCATCTTGATGTCTAAACCAGAGAAAAAGAAAAACATAATATTAATAGAGTGAACTATACAATGATCATTATAGATGATATTACTCTATACCATATCTACATACACATACTGTATACTATTTATGGTCTTAATCAATTCATTTGAATATTCCATATTACAACGAATAGAAAGACAGAACAATTCACCTTAACCACATGATTATTAGATTATTTTCGTATTCTGTTAACAAAATATCGATAAACTCAGCATTCCACAGCACCTTTTTTTAGCACTAAATACTAGTTTTTCTCTCATGGTTAAACATCGTCTTACTCGTATGAACAACAGTAATCTTCAATATCATATTGTTTGAAAAAAAGAAACGATCGAGAGAAAATCATTTTATAAAATACGATTTGTTTTTGAAATTGTTCACATCATCTAGTTGTATTGTCTCAAATAGTTGAAGACAGTGAAAAAATCGTAAATAATAGAATGTTCTTATCAGTGACGATTCTTTTAGAAATTAATAAAATATTCGTTCAGGATCTATTTAATATGAGAAATATAAATATAACTGGATAACAATTTTGTTATCTAGTACTGCTTGATCTGATAATCGACGATGCAAGATCTAACATGAGTTCTTGGTACAATATTAATGAATGATGTGTTTAAGTGATTTGATGTGATGTTTAAATTCACTTGAGCTAATTCCGTTATACGTTATATGAAGTAATAATTGAAAATAAAGTATATTATGCTGAAAATGGCATACTAGACTCCTCTATAAAAATAATCTATGAGCCATATTTACTGCTTAATCTGATAAAACTGTTTTAAATAAGAAAAAACGGGAAGAGTAGAGATGTTAGTGGCACCGTAGGGCAAAAGTTTTCGCATCACTTCACTTCGATGAAAGTTTATATCATTCTGCACCGCTGTTGACGTAAAACATTTTTTATATAAATAAATTGATAATTTTTTTTTGTCTGACTGAAAACTACTTTTGAGGAAGGTTCCATACTTCCTGCAACCGTCGATGATTACGTTTCATCTTTTCAAAGAAGTCTATTGTATGTTGTCTCGCGATAATATATATACCTATTTCAATTATTTTGTTTCTGATAACATTTGACTCTAGAAACACACTTTCTTCATTTCATGTAAGTTGAATCTACACATCAATATAAATACATTAACCATTGAAACTGTTGTTCTTTCATTTCTTTCTGTTAAAATTAAGTGAGAATTGAAATACAATGAATAATTTTCTCTTAAATAACTATAATCTTACAAACAAACAGAAATATTAACAGAGCTAAAGTTTAGATGAAAAAAACATTTCAAAAAGATCTTGTAAAAAAAAAAAATGATATGAAAAAATATTAGAATATTCAGAAAAAGAGGATAATCTCCGATCCGAATCGTTGCACGCCGTTATGACTAATTAGTAATACTTTTGGAAGAAAAAATATTTCCAACGAATTGTTTAAGAACAAAAGATATTTACAATTTATATCACGGTTTATGCTTCGATACACAACGCATCGAAAATTATATATTTAGAAAATCACAGTTAATGAAAAGTTTCCAGTTTTTTTTCAAAAAATCGTAAAAATTTTTGATCCCTATGGACAATTAAAGAATCTGAAATAAAAAAAAAAATAAAATATTATTAACGTGTACCCAGGACAGTTGATTCACTCTAATATGTTGTTTAAATCGATTCTACGATAAATTTCTCTTTAAAACATTCAAACTATATTTAATCGAAAATTTCTAACCATGAAATAAATAAATATTTTCACTATTTTTTATATTATTAAAAATCAGTTTCATTTAGTTACCGTAACAAATAGTGAAAGTGTTTTTAGATGATTTCTCTGAAGGTATTCTCTCGTTTATATAAGTAAATTTGATTCTATCAAAAAAAATTTTTTACGATCCTAATACAAAGAATAAGTGTCCAGAGAATTCTGAATGAATAAAACTTACTTTAAATCCAGTACAATTGCATGTAGTGTCATTCTAAGGTGGGATATCTACTATGAATGAGACATAAGGTTATGTTTTATCGAAACATAGATACATTGTACAAAAACAACGTTATACCCAACTGACGTTCATTTTTTATTCATGTCTTTCCTTTTCTTTGTTGACGGCAAAAGTCGATAACCGTATTTGATGAATATAAATGATGAAAATATAGAATTTGACAGAGCGAACGTATATAGAACAGATGGAGAATACAGAAACGACAAAAATTGAGTTATTAACAACATCAAACGAAAGAATTTTGACTTCAAATGTAAACAGTATTAAACAATAATATGATGTTTGTATGACGCACAACTTTTGTAATTAGAATAAGAATAAGAAAAAAAAACACAATTATCTAAGATACAAACATCTTTACTAATCTATGTTTGCAACTCAAAAGAGCAACGACTTAATGATGATTATAAAAGCAAAACAAAACAAAACAATAATTTATTCGATTGTATGAAATAAAAAAACAATACATTGATCGTCATATCTATTCAATTTCTTGTATCGATCAATAGATATATTTGAGTGATAATAACTTAAAAGTTATGTAAATATGTTTTCCACTTTTTTGTTCAATTAGCTAAATGAGATTCATAAAATAATTTGATATCATTTTTCTCAACTAAAATGCGAATAACTTGCCATGGAGAGATGTTCACGTGTAGACATAATTATTTTTATTTGTTTACAATTTCAAAAAAGAAAAAATTATTTATAGTTAGTAAAACGATTTAAAAGATCTTTAATACAAATTCCTGAAAAGCATATGGTAAGCATATTTTTCTCTTCAAAGAAAAACACATAGTTATTAAGAAGACAGATCCGATTAGTTGGAAAGAAAAACAGGACAGATCTACAGTTCTTATTATTGTCATATATATTGCTGAGAAAAGTTTTTTTTTAATAGTACAGTAGCGGATTCAGGATGATAGCAGTTACCGAAATTTTTGATTTCATACTATTATACTCTCCTTCTTGTACAATATGCTGAACGCAAAAGAAGTAGAAATCGTGTCATCTAGAAACGTCTAAGTAAAGTTGCTAAACTTTTGCTCTTTTGTAGAAATCCGCCAGCACTGAAAAATTTTTTTCTAGATTCGCCATTGTAATAGTGCACATGGATATTGTTGAATTCTAAACTTGAACTATAATAAAAAAAAGTGCGGAAAAAAGAGTCACTTCCTTTTAATAGAAAAATTAATAAAAAATTTACTTCTTACAAGAACGTTTTCAAGTTCAAAAAGAAAGAACCGATAATGTATTTTCTTAAATTGTTCAATTATTTTACTAGTTTATTCTACTCTTTTTTTTCTTTATTTTTTCTTTTCTTTAATATAAAGAAGAAGAAAAAAAGAAAAAAAACCTAAACGTTTCCAGAATGTGAGAAGTTATGAAAAGGCTTCTATTGTAATAATAGAGTAGCAATAATAATAATAGAGAGATGAGTGTCAAATCAATTTTAATTGAGATAGTAGATAAAGAAAAAAAATATATATATCCGATAAAATGTTCGGATTCAAACATTAAAGTTAGTCATCAAAGAAAACAGTAAATCAGATGCATTAAGACGATATTTGATATAATTAAAGAACGAGAAGGTAAAAAGAAAAAAAATTGAATCGATAGAGTAGAAAAACATGATTAACAGTTATTTCAAATAGTCAATCTCAAAAAGGGACCAATTAGATTAAAAGTCAACGTTCTTTTCCAACAATTTTTAATGTGTTAGAGATAGATTAACTGTAGCGAAAATTTTATGAAACAGAATTTATGTTCTTGATACATGGATATATATCTGGCTCTTTTTCTTTAACGAATGTTAAAAGTTGATTTATCCATCCAACACTGATATTCAAAACATCACAAATCATTAATATTCAATGTACAAGAATGTGCATTACTCTTCTTTACATTGACGACTTATTAGACAAGTAGAGTTACAGATAAAAATCCGTTGAAATAGATCTAGTCTAAGCTGATCGTCTTACTGTGTATCCTATGAGTGTGACGTATCAATGGTACTAGACTGTAAGAACTTCAAAAGCCGATTATTTCTTAAGGATTTTTTCATTTTACTTCTTAATCAAATGTTAAACAACATAGAATAATATGTATTCTACAAAAAAAAAAAGTGAAGGAGTCTAATGTAAAGGATAAAAAATCCGAATTAGACTTTTTACTCCTGGATAGAATAGTAGAAAACAAACATACTAAGAAACAATGAATCAACTGTGTCATAGAAACACGTGAGCATCTTAGCTGAATATATAAAGATGTACAAGTCATCGAGTTAGCTCTTTTGTCGAATATTTCTAAATGTGCAACGAACACATGAAAATAATATTATATCTATATTATGCGTTTTAAAGAGAATTACTATACTCTGTGGTAATGAAATGATCTAGTACTCGTACTAATAAACATGGATACAGTTTTCACATGGATATATCAAATACTAAATAATACTGAATTATCAATTCTACGATATTCAACTGAATTAGAATAATCTTACCGTTCTGATGTCCTATTGACAGAACCTTGGATGGTTATTGATCGATATATTTTCATTCGTTCTTTTGGTGGATGACTTTTCTCTGTTCCACTACCAGTAGTCGAGGGCGACCCTGATTTTTCACTATCAATATTTTTTGGCTGATGTTCCATAACAGGAAGACGCTTAGACAAATAATTCATCAGTTTTTAAAGTAAACTCAAATGAATAAAGAATAATAATACACACCATCGAATAAAACTAGGAATAAAAAAAATTTTCAACAAAATAAAAACATGGTCATCGTTATTTTCGTCATTTTAAAAAGAAATGCGATATTTATCAGTAATAATACAAAAGAATAACATTAGAGAGAAAAATAAAAACCGATAATCTCAATATAGGAGAGAGCTTCTTTCTTCTAGGGTTTTTTTTTTTTAATAAATAAAAAAGCAAAACAGATGTGCTGTATGAATAGAAAAATAATAATACTAATAGCACAACGTTGAATGTTTCCCATCTATTTTTTTTTTTTTTTTGCTATTAATAAGTAGAATCGAACAAGAAACTGTGCAGCGAAAGATGAATTGAATAGATAAGTGAGAGATTGTGATTGAATACGGAGAAAGAGAAACAGAGAAAAATAAAAGAAGGACTTACAGATGACATATGAGTTAATCAGCTCTACTTAACAAAGAGGTAAGCTTAATTTTTATTACAGAGCCTTGATATATCATTCGGATAAAAATAATACAATTCACTCTATCTCCCACTGATTTCTATTTAAAATACATTAAAAAACGGAACTTGTCTATAGTAAATTCAATATTTCCCATATTTATTAGTACTATTCTGTTTTGAGTCTTTATCAATATCTGCTTTTATTTTATAATCTTAACTGTTTAAATAGTGTCTTCGCAAAATACAGGATTACAATCAAATACTAATACAAAAGATTTAATTCACCATAAATTATTTCACAAAACTTGAAAATAAAAGCATGACATATTTTTATTGTTCAGATAAGACGAGCAAGGAAAAATATTCGACTGTATATCGGGCAAGTGTGTTGAATGCAATTTTATCAAAAAATAAAAACATTTAGAATTGATATATTATAAAAAGTTTTGTTGAAAATTCGTTTTTCTCCCCCCATTAAAACCACTTGAAACCGAAAAAAAAAATAGCTTTATTATTAAAAGGACTGTTGCGCACGCATGTCATATGTTGTTATTTGATGTTATCTGTGTAGTGCAGTGGTGGGCCGAGACCCAAAAGTTTGGTATGGCAATAAGTCTGAGAAAGTTTTTGCTTGCAAAAAAATGCTCTGTTTAAGACGTTTTTTTTTGCTAGTCTTGAACGAGTTTCAATTGCCATACAAATTTTTATTGGTATGGCAATTGCCTCAATTGTCCCGCTGTCGGCCCGCCCCTGGTATAGTGAACAACATATTTGTTTTTCTAAATTTTTTTCCTTAATAATCAACCCATCATGTTTGACATCTCTAAACAGATATGAAAATGTATCAAAAAATTGTCTCCCTATGATGAATGGAGAGTTATCAAAAAATGAAACATGTTTAAAATTACAAATAACTCATATTGACAAGAATAAACAAAGAACCTTTAATTAAACAAGAAAGGATTAAAGCGACATCTTTACTGATGTAATGTCAGCCATTCATTTAAATTTATTCGTAGTTCGCTAACAATCAGTAGAATAGAAAGAAAATTATACTTGTTTGTTTTATGCGTATTAAAATATAGATTGAGAAGTTTTAAAAAAAACCCATTATACAATGTCATTTGTCCTTCAATACACAGATGGGCGAGTCCGAGTTACGATTCGAATCGCATTTTTCTATGGCTTGGACTCGAACTCGAGGTGAAAGACTCGGTAAACTTCGAGTCACTTTCGAGTCACTTTCGAGTCAGCCAGGTGCAACTTGGAATTGTTATGACGATGTTTGTTATATACCAGAAGCGAGAGAGATTCGAGGATATTCTAAGTAGAACATCACGTCACATGAGAGGATTGAAGAACTGTTCTTGGAAAAATGAATCAGGAGGAAGTTTTCCTCTAGAAAATGACTGGTGACTCGAGTAAAATTTTTGATGTGACTCGACGCAAAGGCTACACAAGTCGACAATCTTAAGATTATTTCTGACAGAATCTTGATTTCAGGTCAATCTTATCAGATTCTGACCCTATACAATCAATAATAAGATTCAGATTAGAATGACCTGATCTGAAAAATTCTTCAAGATTCATGGTCACTGATTCTTGGTAAGAAATCAAGATCAGTCCATTCTGGTCTGAATCAGGAGATTGTTTGAAAAACACTGATATCTCAGTAACGGCTTCTGGCTAGAGAACTCTGAATATA